CTTAGTGAGGGAGGGTCTAGCAAATGCAGGTTTCTGAGTGAGGGAGGGCCTAGTAAATCCTGGTTTCTGAGTGAGGGAGGGCCTAGCAAATCCTGGTTTCTTAGTGAGGGAGGGCCTAGCAAATCCAGGTTTCTGAGTGAGGGAGGACCTAGCAAATCCAGGTATCTGAGTGAGGGAGGGCCTAGCAAATCCAGGTTTCTGAGTGAGGGAGGGCTTAGCAAATTCTGGTTTCTGAGTGAGGGAGGGCCTAGTAAATCCTGGTTTCTGAGTGAGGGTACACTGGTAAACCCGGGTTTCTGAGTGAGGGGAGACTGGTGAACCCGGGTTCATGTTCGTGCGAGGGGTTCGCGGATGATGGATGGATATTTGGATGTGATGTTTGTTTCTGCTCCCGTGGATGTGCGTCCGTTTGTATAATATACGTAGCATACATTAAACGCTCCGTTGGCGCTGTTGAATGTTGCGCCTTGCGTCTCTTGTGTGTGTGTGTGTGTGTGTGTGTGTGTGTGTGTGTGTGTGTGTGTGTGTGTGTGTGTGTGTGTGTGTGTGTGTGTGTGTGTGTGTGTGTGAGTGTGTGTGTGTGTGAGTGTGTGTGTGTGTACTCGCCTATATGTGGTTGCAGGGATCGAGTCACAGTTTGTCGCCCCTCCTGTTCTCTAGCCGCTACTAGGTCACTCTCTCCCTGCTCCTAGAGCTTTATCACACCTTTTCTTAAAGTTATGTATGGATCTTGCATCCACTTCTTCTCTCTCCAGATTATTCCACTTTTTGACGACTCTAAGACTAAGGAAATACTTCCTAACATCCCTATGACTCATCTAAGTATTCAACTTCCATTTGTGACCCCTTGTTGCTGTGTCTCATCTCTGAAATATTCTAGCCCAGTGTGTGTGTGTGTGTGTGTGTGTGTGTGTGTGTGTGTGTGTGTGTGTGTGTGTGTGTGTGTGTGTGTGTGTGTGTGTGTGTGTGTGTGTGTGTGTGTGTATGTGTGTGTGTGTGTGAGGGCGTCCGCGGTCTTATCTCCAGATTTCTCGCATCTCATTATCATTCCCTGTTTTCTTCTGCCTCTTATTTTTTGTCAGTTTCCACTGTCTCTAATTCTTTTTTCTTTATTTATTTCTTTGCATCTTTAAGAGAAAATTTTCCGAGTCTATCACAGTTTTCAGCTTCCAATTATTGTTGTTTGTTCCATCCTCCTGGCTATTAATTGCTGTAAACATTCCCACTCTTCCCAGACCACTGACTTTCTCTTCCCTGACCAGTGACTTTCTCTTTTCATACCACTGACTTTGTCTTTGCAGACCACTGACTTTCTCTTCCCTGACCAGTGACTTTCTCCTCCCAGATAATTGATTTTCTCTTCTCATTTCACTCCAGACAGCTTATTCTTCCCAAGCACTTATTAGACAATGAGCGTCTCCCCCCAAATGCACTTACCAGACCAGTGAGCAAGAATCTAACCCATATGCACTTACCAGATTATGAATGAGATTGTTGTTCTCGCACACCGACCAGTCCAGTGAGTGTGTCAGTAGAGGGTAAAGGTTTGTACCACCACTGTTTGCATGATCTGCAAATAGAAACACGTTTGACTCTCCACGTCACTATGCTCCCTATATATCGTTATTGATAAAACCCAGTGTGTGGGCGAAACGCCGTCAATAATACTGCATTATGTCTATTTTTTCATGCAAAAATATATCTGTACAATGCGGTTACTAACTACTACCACTACTACTACTACTACTACTACTACTACTACTACTACTACTACTACTACTACTACTACTACTACTACTACTACTACTGGTACTACTACTACTACTACTACTACTACTACTATTACTACTTCTACTACTACTACTATTATTATTACTACTACTACTACTACTACTACTACTACTACCACCACCACCACCACCACCACCACCACCACCACCACCACCACTACCACCACCACTACTACCACCACCACTACCACCACCATCACCACCACCACCACCACTGCCACCACCACCACTACCACCACCACTACCACCACCACTACCACCACCATCACCACCACCACTACCACATCCATCACCACCACCACTACCACCACCACTACCACTACCACCACTACCCCACCATCACCACCACCACTACCACCACCACTACCACCACCGCCACTACCACCACCACCACCACCACCACCGCCATCACCACCACCACCACCACCACCACCACCACCACCACCACCACCACCACCACCACACCACCGCCACCGCCACCACCACCACCACCACCATCACCACCACCACCACCACCACCACCACCACCACCGCCACCACCACACCACCACCACCACCACCACCACCACCACCACCACCACCACCACCACCACCACCACCACCACCACCACCACCGCCACTGCCACCACCACCACCACCACCACCACCACCACCACCATCACCACCACCTCAGGTAGATCACCTCTGAGAGGTGATTCTTGATCTCTCTATAGCCCCCACATGTGGTAACCCATCTAGATACTCTTTTTTCTCCTCTCTTATTATATCCTGTCTCTTCATCTTCCCTTCTCGTTTTCATCTATATTTTGAGATATTGTCAATTCAAATCAATTCAATTCAAAGTTTATTCTCTATAAGGATTACAATGCTGAGTTTACAGAATTTGGTTACTGTGTGGTTTACATGTAGTAAAATAATGATTACAGAGTGTACCACTAGAACACCTAGCATGGCTAGGCATTTCAGGCAGACTTAGTTTAATTCTTAATTTTAAAATATTACAAATTATGAGGTAAGTTGGTATTATGGGTAAGTGACTAAATACTAGTTTGTGAGTTTAGCAATGTGAATGCTTTTGTTTTGGCACAGTACATAGTTTCAGTATTGGAGTATCACAGGATTCATTATTTTAAGATTGAGATTAATATTTCTGTTTATGGTCAAATGAGTGAGTGAGTGTAAGTGTGAACCACCAGGTGGTATTCGTGTAGTTAATTGACGGGGTGTATCAGGGAGATAAGATGTTTTCTAATGGTAGTTTTGAAGGTGATGAATGTGTCTGCAGTTCTAGAGTTCTCAGGTAGGGTGTTCCAGATTTTAGGGCCTTTGACATACATTGAATTTTTGTAAAGGTTTAGTCGGACACGGCGAATGTCATAGAGATGTTTGTGTCTGGTGTTATGCCTGTGGGTTCTGTCACAACTATCAAGAAAGCGTTTTAGGTCAAGATTGATATTGGAGTTTAAGGTCCTGTAGACGTAGATTGCACAGTAGTAAGTGTGGATGTACTGAACAGGGAGTAAGTTTAGGTCTATGAAGACTTGGGGGGGGGGTGTTGCCAGGGATGGGATTTAGTGATTATTCTTACTGCAGTTTTTTGTTGGGTTATTATTGGCTTTAGGTCCTGTGTTATAAATTTGTAGAGTTTTTAAATAAGATTAAAATGAAGATATTTGTTTTGTTAATCAATTTCTGTACATTTTTCAGTACTTGTGAATGACGTAAATCTCTCACACACCTTGAAGGAATAATCTTTGAGCTCACAGTCAACAGATTATGAGCTCAAAGATGACGTTATGATTAGTTAAGATGATCTTATGATTAGTTAAGATGATCATATGATTAGTTAAGATGACGTTACGATTAGTAAAGATGACATCTTGATTAGTTAAGATGACGTCATACTTAATGAAGATGACGTCATCTTAAGTCAACACAGAAGGTGCACCTTTAATAGTCTATGGTCACATTCTAGCAATGATAATTTATTATTGTCTCTTTGTGTCTTTGTTATTCTACCTCCCTCACCTCCCCCTTCTCCGTCCACTCTTCCTTCCTCTCTTACTTCTATTAAATCTTCAGTCTTATCTCCTTTCTCTTATTTCTTCCATTCCTCCTTTATCATAACCTTCTTCTTCCTCGCATTTTTTTTATTGTTCTCTGAGTCCTTCTGCTTCTCCTTCACCACCCTATTCTTCCTCAGTTTTTTTTTATTTTTCTCTTACTATTTTCTCCCTCTCTTTCACCTTCTCTTTTCTTCTCTCTCCTCATCTTCATTTTATGAGACAAACCATTAAAGCCTCTTTAATTTAAAACTATATGACGAGAAAAGATTCTTGAAGTTTTGACTTAACTGCATTTGCCCAGGAGCTAGAGCCTAAATTAACAGGAAGCAATGACTCAAGTACCAAGAGTACAAATCGCATCTATAGTCACCCTCAGGTCAAGAGCCAGAGCTCATGCTCCCCCTACTCTTTTTCAATCTATTTCCACCTATAGCTCAATCTCAATCCTTCTTCAACTCCCATATCACCATTCAACTCTTCCCCATCTTTCACTAACATCACCCACTTTACTCTTGGTCAGTGGCTCCTGAAGGAGGTGATGATGAGTAGATAGCTGGCGGCTGGATAGTGGGCGGCAGGAAAAGAGGTGGGTGACGAGGTTAAGATAAGGTTTGCCAGGAAAGAGAGCAAGTGTTTCCTGACTCGGGTCTTAGCCATATTGATGACCTGCAGCTGGAGCTTTTGGTTATCTGACTGAGGCCTTCCGCTGTCTTACCGATCCATTAGATTATAACCATTACAGATATTATGGGGTGACTAGTTGCTGTATGAATTTATATAGGCTGGCCCCACGGAGGTTAAGAGTCACCTCACCACAGGTTAGCTCTCCGTGGTAGACCACAGATCGTAGTGTAGAGTCGTGTTTATATTTGGAGATCACATAGGCAGTTGTCCAACAGGCTCTGAACTTAGTGATTTGGTAATAATGTACAGCCATTACTCTGCACACGCATTTCTGGCAACTGTTAACCTCTTGGTAAGAATTTTTCCTCTCTCTATGAGACTAGTAAGAGTTTCTCCTCTTTGCATTTAGAAAATAAGTAAGTCTCTCTCTTCCGTACATTTTCCAAACCAGTATAAATGTATCTGTCGTCCTCCCTCATGATCTTACCGCAGCAGTAAGTTAGTGTGTCTTCCTACACAGTGGTGAGTGAGGACGAAGAATCTCTTCCGAAGTTCATCGAGAACGTACCTAACATTACCGTCACTGTGGGACGAGATGCTCTCCTGCCCTGCACCGTCGAACAGCTCAAAGGATTTAAGGTAGGCACTGGGTAATTACATATTTACACTTAATCTTCAATTACCTATTTATAATTAAATTTTGTAGCAACAAAAGAGCTGTGTACACAGTGTCCTGTTTTCATTAATTGTTTCATCACAATTTTTTTTCCTGAGATTGAATCTTCGACCTTCCTGGCAAGGGTTTTGATCGTGGCCAACCGACTACGTCAGTCGACATTTGTTAGGGCGATGTAAGTGAAGTGGTAAACCCGTTTAGTTCATTAAGCACATACAAAAAAAAGTGGTGGAAACTCAGTCCTACTTCCAATAATCAGGTATTAGACATACGTCTTAACTCACCTGCGGGTGAACCCGGACACAGAAGTGCCTCTCAGACAAGAAGTTTTTAAAGAAAAGTGGCACTTGCCCCGGAGGCCTAAGGAAAGAGCTTGGGCCAAGATGTTACATCTCCAAGCAGGGTCATGCTTTTTTTTAGATATAAAAAAAAAAACTGCGATAACAGAGTGATGTGTGTGTAAATGCTATTGCCTCTTTAATTTTGTAAAGGAAGGGGAGGGGGAGAGGTTCTGCTCTAGTAGGGTTTGGGCATTCATTAAGGGAAAGGTTTCCTGTGAGCGAAAGCTCACAAGAAAGATGGGAGAGAGGAAGATGGAAAGAAGGAAGATCGGTGGGCGGTAGAGAGACTGTATCATATTTCTTATAATTAAAAAAATATGGATACTTCGGTAGTGTGCTGCTTCCCTAGTGTATATAAAAGGTACATTGTGGGGACAAACACTAACTAGATTTCCCAGTCAGATTCCAACACGCAAGATGGGGCTCATTCAAAATGTTGAGATCTGTTAGCGTGAGTTGTGAGATTTCAGTAGTGTCTTCCTGAGCTGAGAGATTTCAGTAGTGTCATCCTGAGCTGAGAGACTTCAGTAGTGTCATCCTGAGCTGAGAGACTTCAGTATTGTCGGCCTTAGCTGAGACTTCAGTAGGGTAATGAGGGAAGCCTCTGCAACTTCTCTTCAGAATCTCCCAAAAGCACAGTGTCATCAGCAAAGAGCAACTGCGACAACTCCCACTTTGTGTTAGATTCTTTATCTTTTAACCCCACACCACTTGCCAACACCCAAGCATTCACTTCTCTTACAACTTCTTCTATAAGTATATTTAACAACCATGATGACATCACATATCCCTGTCTAAGGCCTACTTTTACTGGGAAATAATCTTCCTCTCTCCTACATACTCTAACCTGAGCCTCACTATCCTCGTAAAAACTCTTCACTGCATTAAGTGTTCAGCAGCTACGGCAGCTTCAAACATTTCGGGAAATAGATAGAGAAAGAGAAGGAGGGAGGGTTAAAGTGTTGGGAGAAAAGAGATGATGGAAAGAGAAGGATAAATTAAGTTGAGATGAAAGAGAGAGAGAGAGAGAGAGAGAGAGAGAGAGAGAGAGAGAGAGAGAGAGAGAGAGAGAGAGAGAGAGAGAGAGAGAGAGAGAGAGAGAGAGAGAGAGAGAGGAGGAGGAGGAGGAGGAATTAAAGGAGGTTACTTTCTAGTGGTCTTGATGAGTGAAGAATAAAACTCACAGAACCATAGCTGGAACAACTTACAATTAACACACAATACCGTAGCTGGAATAACTTACAACTAACACAGTACCATGGCTGGAATAATTTATAACTAAGACACAGTACCATGGCAGGAACAGCTTACAACTAACACACAGTACCATGACTGGAACAACCTACAACTCAAGCACAGTACCGTGCTGGAATAACTTACAACTAACAGGCAGTACCGTGGCTGGAACAACTTACAACTAACACACAGTACCGTGGCTGGAACAACTTACAACTAACACACAGTACCGTGGCTGGAACAACTTACAACTAACACACAGTACCGTGGCTGGAACAACTTACAACTAACACACAGTAAATGGCTGAAACAACTTACAACTAACACACAATACTGTGGCTGGAACTACTCACAACTAACCCACAGTAAATTGGCTTTAATTCACGACTAACTCGCAGTGACATGGCTGAAACAAATCACAACTAACCCACATATTGGAAATGCATATTCAGACAACGTTGCTTTTCTTCCTGGACTATGTTTATGTCACGACTGGGAGAGAAATGAGAGAAAGCCAAGAATCACCTGATCTGACCTCTGGCTTTCTGACCTCTGGATTTCTGATTTCTTTCTAATGGTTCAGGACCCAAATGTTGTCAGATTATTATTATTATCATTATTATAATCAAAACTAAGCGTCGTCTGAAGAAATTTCTCCTGTCAGCGAGTTATATATAAATTTTCTGATGAATAGTTGGCTGGGTGGTTAGGGCTGTAGAGCTTCAGGGTAGAAATTAACTGATATTCAATTTCCATTGATACAAAGGCCTACTACCCCTGCGATGACTACTAGTTCAAGTGGTAGTTCAAGTAGTCGTTTTCCTTGTCGGAAAATGACTACTTGAAAGTAGCCATGCCATCTTTTGTTGATGTCACAGGCCGTCTGCAGAAAGACGTTTCTGTTGCGGCTAATGCAGTCACTAGAGTGTTTGTTGTTGTCCCTCATGTTCCAGATGGTAATAACGTCCTAGTCGAATTAAGTTTTGCCAGAAAATGCTTGAAACCGGACTCACTGAAATCACCGAAACAAGATCTCAGGTCTAAAAACAAGAATCTGTCAAGGCAATGAACATATTGCTATTTTTGCTTATGGAACATCAGTTGGATGTTAGGTAAGACACATATGCAAGAGTTAGGATTCTTTATTTTGAAACGTTTCGCCTACACAGTAGGCTTCTTCAGTCGAGTAAAGAAAAGTTGATAGAAGCAGAAGAGACTTGAAGACGATGTAATCAGCCCATAACCCTTAAAGTTTTGAGGTGGTCAGTCCCTCAGTCTGGAGAAGAGCATTGTTCCATAGTCTGAAACAATATGGAGTTGAAGTGACAGGATGGAGCCTTATATAGCGCCAGGAGGTGAGACGTAGGTCACTAGTAGAACGCAGATGTTGGGAGGTCAGGTCCCTCTCAAATCCAGCCGTTCTCACTAGTAGAGGTTGTCGAAGTTGATTGCAGGTCTGTACCAAGATACCCTTGTGTTGCAGTGTCTGACAGATTGAACATTAAAATGGTGTAAAATATCGACAGGTTGTTAGGTAAAACACATATGCAACAGTTAGGTATCTTTATTTCGAAACGTTTCGCCTACACAGTAGGCTTCTTCAGTCGAGTACAGAAAAGTTGATAGAAGCAGAAGAAACTTGATTACATCGTCTTCAAGTCTCTTCTGCTTCTATCAACTTTTCTGTACTCTACTGAAGAAGCCTACTGTGTAGGCGAAACGTTTCGAAATAAAGATACCTAACTGTTGCATATGTATCTTACCTAACAACCTGTCGGTATTTTATACCATTTTAATGTTCACCAGTTGGATGTCTCACAAGTGTACAGTGTTATTTGTCTGTACACTTAGAATATCCGCGAATCTTCACAATCACGCCCACACCGCTGCTTCACACGGGATGATCTAAGTGTACAGACAAGCAACATTTTTGACAACAAGTGCAGAGTAAGTTTTTTTGTGACAACGTTTCGTTCATTCTAGAGCTTTATCTTCAATGATATTGACTTTGATAAAGCTCCGTATAGAGCGAAAAGCTGCCTTATTAACAAAAGTCTTTTTTTTCATTATGTCAATTAAAATTAAATAAATATATGCAAATTAACGAATCTGTGATACTCTCTTCCGTGTTGTGCATGTTGAAAACAAGGTATTGTGGTCTTAGGGTAGTCTGAGCCCAGGAAGAACTTGCAATTTTCCCTTTTTACCTTGCACCATGTTTCCTAAGATATAATCTCTAGGCTTGCTGGCTGGGTAATTTGAGTTATCCCTGTTTTCCAATGTCAGCACCAGGAAACCTGCTCCATTTCTTGTTTAATATTATGTTCTTATGTTTGAAACAGAATGACGCCCAACCGGTGCCCCATAAGCAAAAACTGAAATATCTTCCTTGCCTTGAGATCTCGTTTCAGTGATTTCAGTGAGTGAGGTTTCATGCATTTTCTGACAAAACCTCAATTGTTAACTAACATACGCATATATGCTACTTGAAAAATGATAAGATTTGACTTACGTTTCTCACAAAATGCAAATGTAATAGCAGTTTCGATTACCTAAAAAAAAAATATTTTTGTTTTGTTTCTCCATACGAATATGTAGAATTTTACAAAATATGGATAATTCCTGCAATTACTTGAAAATAATTTGCTAGTGATACCTGAATGTTGCAACAGCCGATGGAGTTGAACTGCTGGATGGCGCGTCAGGTATTTGGTCAGATAATATTATTCTTTGCGCTAAGTGGCTCACACTGATATGGAACTTAAATAAAGTATTAATAAAGCCATAATTCCTCGCCTAAAACAGATCTACTTTAGCTAAATTTTGTAACATGGAGAGATTATTAACGTCATCTTCCAACACCGGCTCTTCCACCGTGATCTCTCATGATAGTCAGCTGTGCTGGTGATGGCTCTGCTGATTAAGGTAAAAAATACTCCATCTGATCAGCTGATTCATTGTGATGACTGACAGTGTTAGTACGGCTGATGGAGGCAGCAGTGCATGATGCTAGTGTAGTCGTAGGGAAGTCGGGCGCTGGGGAGGAAATTCTCACTGGGTTTCAGCTTGAGGAACTTGTGCTGGTGCTCGGGAACCACGTTGCTCTGGTAAATATAAATATAGTAGTTTCTCTCGGAACGTTGTTCTTGCCTGAGACCCATGGAGTGCAGTAGCTCGTGGACGGCGGTTCCTTTCGTGCCTACTATGCTGGAACACCCACTTCCTCGCACCACCTGCAGAGTTCATCCCTCTGGCCTTCCTGCTGATGTCAACACACTCGTGTAGGAGTTACTGTTCTCGCTACACGCCGACGGAATTTGATGCAGGCAAATTGACTTACTTCTGCGCCCTGAAGAAACTGGAGTCCAGGGAGTTGTAGACGATGC